AAATTTGTTCATCTCATCAAGATATACAATCCTTATATAGGTCATTTTTCATTTGAGAAAGTTTGAATAAAATATAGTTCAAATTTCACAAGCGTGTAACATAGTTTCGTAAAGTCTATATGAGATTCAAGAATTTATGACTAGTGTTTGATAAAACTTTCTCAAATGGAAAAATGAGCTATGTAACAATTGTAGATCTTGCTGAGATGATCAAACTTGGTATTCAAAGTTTTTTCATCTGAGGTCATTTAGTGTCTCATTTGAGCAAGTTTGACCAAGTCAAATTTGGTCAAATGAAAAACAACACTTTGACTCTAGTATTATGAACTCTAAATGACTTCAAATTGAAAAGTTTTGAATACCAAGTTTGTTCAACTCATCAAGATCTACAATTGTTGTTTTGGTCAACTTTCCATTTGAGATAGTTTGGATGGTTCAAATTTGTGATTTTAAATTTTGAATAAATATCCGGATAATATCCGTTTTTAAATATCCGGATATATCCGATAATTATCCGGATTATCCGATATCCGCCGGATATCGATGATATTACATCCGTATTTGATATCCGCCTAAGATATCCGTTTTAGTATCCGTATCCGGAAAAAAAACCGGATATCCGAGTAACTATCCGAATAAGTGTTCATATTTGTTCGGTCGAACGGACGGTCGAATAAATATCCGTACCGTTTTCATCCATACCCGTCGACCAAACCACCTCACCTCGACACCAAAATCTCAACTTCTCGTAGCAATCCATCGTCCGCGCAGGAGCTGGTATCGTCTTGTGGTTCCTCCTTTCTTGCTTAGCTTGCGGATCGACAGGACCTGCACGTTTAATTTCTCCAGCTTGTTGGTGAGTAATAAGCATGTATTTCTACTAGCTAGATAGTTTCCTGATCCAGTAGGCTGTGGCTGTGGCACTAGGAGCATCAGCTACTATTGCTTGCATTGGTCAATTGGTGGCTTCCGCTAATTGTGTTGGTGTGGTTGTGGTTTTCACTCCCTCTACGCAGATGCATCATACTCGGATATACAGATCTTCCGTTCCGGTGGGTCGTTCCTTATTATAGTTTCTTCTTCCTTGCGAACGTACAGCAACATGGGATCTATCGGTTGCTAGTCCCTGGAGTTAGCACCGAGTGTGTGTTCCCAAAACTACTTGGGAACAATCAAATTGTTCTGCTCGCTCGTTTCTCCGATCCAGGCAGTGACTCGGATATACGTTGATCCGCCGACAAAAACACCTCACCTCCACCGAAATCTCGACTTCTTCCTCGTGACGCCATCCATCTATCGTCCGATCCGCGCCGGCGCTGGCATCGTCTTGTTCTTCCTTTCTTGCTTAGCTTGTTTCCTCCAGCTTGTTGGTGAGTAAGCATGTACTATATTTGCTTTGCAATATTATATCGGTGGGATCCGCTAATGGTGGTTGTGCTTTTTCGATCTCCCTCGATCTATGCAGACCGCAGACGCATCATATATATACATACGCGGATAGATCTTCCGTTCCGGCGGGCCAGTGGGTGCATACCAACAGATCGAGGGCAACATGGGATCTCTCGGCTAGTCTCGCTGGACTTAGCACCGATTGTGATTTGTGTTGCCAAAACTACTTGGGAACGATCAAATTCTTCACCTCGCTCGTTTCTCCGATCCAGCCACAGTGAGTAAACAAGATCTTTTACATAGCTAGTTTTCGCGATCCACCAGTAAACAGCAGCACCTGCAGTATATATCGTCTAGGCATTGTCTGGACTTGAGCACACATCGTGGAACCTGCAAAACCACACGCTGCAATGTCTCTACAAAAACCAAATAAACCCTCTGCTTCAGAAGCTACTGGGCACTCAGGATTTCACGGGTTTGCAGAAAAAAACCAAGTAGAATATCCCGGGTGGAATGCACGTCAGGGCAGCATATCTTAGGTTTTGGTCAAAACATTAAATAAGTTTTGGGCATTTTGAGGTGGTTTAATTTCTAGAACCATATGGACCTATCTCCACAAAAACATGGCATGCGAGAGCATCGAAAGAGAAAAGATTGACCATACAAGTTTTTTTTTTTGGCTGGGTGCTTAGCAATTAGCAACACCGGTCCTGACAAGTAAATCCATCTATGCATTTCTTATTGTTGCTGCTAGTAGTTACCCAAAACATGTCACACTGAAGGCTGACAGCTTTAGTCAGCAGCACCTTGCCTCAATGCTGGCTCCATCCCTAATTACAGTTGGTTCTTTGTTACTCCCTCCATTCCAAATTGTAAGACATTTTGGTTTTTTAGATACATAGTTTTTTTTTTTCTTGAATACGCAAAAGATTTGCACATCTTTCAGTATTAAGATCGAAAATAGTGAAAATTACAACGATGCGCCATGGATATGGCACACTAGGGGAATAGTGTTATACAATCCATTACGCCCTCCCTAGCGAAAGAAAATCATGTGCTATTACTCACTAATTATGCTACCTAACCAAAGATCGGCAGTCGACACACGCTTGCTTGCGTGGGCGCCGGCGCGCTCACCCGCTCTCCTTGTGGATTAGGGAAGAGCTGTCGCATTGCCTCTACATGCGAGGGGTTGAACTGGTCGACGAAGCTACTATCGTAGGCGTTCTTGGCTGCCGTGGTCGTCTGTTCGTCGAGGATCCCCATCCGCTTCATCATCAGCACCTCTCCTGGCTTAGAACCAGGGACACGTGCGTGAAAGTGCCTAGTGACGATCCTCCTGCTACGGGTTGGCAACTTTGGTTGTGCCTGCACAATCGGCCGAGGGAGCAGCGGCGATGGCGCCTTACGCAAGATCTTGTCGGTGAAGCGCTTGAGCCTCTTGGCGGCAGAGCTCCCGCTATCAGCCGGACTGGGAGGGGTTGCCACGTCGGCGCCTGGGGGGATGGCGCCGGAGTCTGGGCGTGCCTCGGTAACCACAACACAGTGTTGTCCCTACCAGGGTGGCGTGACATGTGGCGACATCACGCCAAAGCGGCGACAACGAAGGTGAGTCCATCGTCCACAAGAGAGCCTTCGCCATTGAACGGTTGTCCACCAACGATGCTTCATCTTCCTAAGAGGTGGCCGTGGCAGCGGGCACCGGGTCCCGTCTGCAGTCAGTTGGTTTGGCAGACGACGAGCGAGGCAGCGAACTCCTCTAGCATTGGGTCGACCCACGCGGGAGGCCCCGCGCTCGCCCACAGCTCCAACACTAGCGGATCCAGCTAGGGGAAGCAAAGTGCAGCAGCAGAGGTAGCAGCGTTGTCATCATGGTCGATAGGCGCACCCACTCTACTGTCCTCTGTTAGCTCGCTCTGGCGTCGCCAGTGTCGTCGTCGGACTCTGCCGGCACTCCACACGACACCATGTGCGGCCCCATCCAAGCGCGGTGGAGCGCTGTAGGGTCGTGCTAGGAGGCCGTCGGGCCATGGGGCGCGTGCTAGGAGATCGTTGGGTTGCCACCACGAGCGGGCATGGGCCGCTTGCAGTCCCTAGTGAGGTGACGGAAGTTGTGGCAGCGCAGGCAACGCCGGACAATTGGCAAGTCGCTACTCGGTCACGACTAGGAGAGGCGATTGAAGCATCTCGCCATGAAGCTCAAGGGGATCTTCGGGCCTGGGAAGCTGCTTTGGACCACGGGCGAGGCTCAACCAAGGTGGCTATGGGTCCCGCTCTCCTGCCGGGGAGGATTTCAAGCCACCCATAGGCATTGGGGATGGAGACCATCATGGTGGCCAAGGCGTTGGCGGGGACATGGCCATCCATGGGACGGCGAGCATGCATGCCGCACAGCAGCTATGGCGCGCGCGCCGGCTATGCTTCCTCCACCTCCGGCCAGGTCCCTTATGGCTGTGGTCGGCTCCACTGCGGCCCATAATCGCGACAGGGCAAACCAGGCGCTTATGGTTACGCGATCGACCGCCGCCGGGCGGCGACGGCGCGTGTCTAGGTAGGTTGTGGGGTGGTCATCGTCGGACTCGTAGCCACCGTCGTCCACCCACCAAAGCCAGCGTATGGATCACCCACCCTAGACTGGGTAGAAAGGAGCCGCGTCCGGTGAAAGGGGGGGAGCTAGGGGTGGCTCGTGGTGGCAAGGGCGGATGATGGGACAGCGTCCCGGTGGCTGCACCTACCAGTCCCGTCACGGCCGACGGTCACCGTCCCGCCGCAGCGGGCGGCATGTAGGGGTCGGATCGCCCAGACGTGCGGCCCGCAAGCGATCCGGAGGTATGCCCGGCCAAGGTAATGTAGAGGGCTGCTGCTAGAGGTGGTGGCCGCCACGGTGGGGTCTCAAGTCCATCCGCGTCTCACGGTGGGGTGGGGAGGGCGCCACTGCAGAGGAGGTGGTGGCCACCGTGATGGGGATGGCACTGCTGCAGCTGTTGGAGATGGAGATGGCAGCCATGGTGGTGGGGCCGACGTCGACAACAGTCGCAGGCGGTGCTCGTCGCCCAACCCACAAGGGTGGGCTCATTGGCGGCAGCGGCGCAGGCGGGCCGAGATCCCACGAAGGCTCACCGGCGTTGGTTGTCGCGGGGGTGTCGGGTGTGGGGAGGGAGGGGGGGAGGAGGGGCAGGGGGCGGCGCTGCTGCCGGCGGCGGTGGCGGCGTTGCCAGGATTCGGCCGCCTAGGGTTACGCTACTCGTGGGCCGCACTGTACTTTACAATATTGCCGAGTGCACGGGTTCTAGATACATAATTTTTTTTGCTATGCACTTAGATATACACTATGTCTAGATACATAATAAAGGCAATGCATCTAGAAATGTTAAAATGTCTTATAATTTAAAATATAGGGAGTACGTTTTAGTAGATCGGACGAAGTAATATACATGCTGGGATGTTGTGAAAAAAAGAATATATATGCTGGGAGAGCCTGGGGCCGCTCATATCATTTTTTTTATGAAAGGCCACCCATATCATTAATCAGAATACCCTAATAACAATCCCTGTTTAACACAAGTATTAAACATAATTTTCCCTCTAAAGCAGGTTCCGCGTAAATAGGAATGGACAGCCGTGAGATATTGGAGTTGGAGAACAAGCTTCTTGATCCGACCACAGAAGAACCAATTTCTCTACCCCTACACTTTTTGAGATCGATAACAAATGGTTTTAGCAATGAGCAAGAACTCGGGAGGGGTGGGTACGGAGTAGTTTACAAGGTAAATATGATGAATTCTTTCTCGCTCCAACTCACAAATAAAAATGTTGGCAGCCATATTTAATCACAATTACTCTATGTAGGGACGACTTCTCCACCATGGCGATTCATTTCTTGCTGTGAAGAAGTTTCATGATAGTCATGTAGTGAAGGGTGATGAACAGTTCCAGAAAGTTGCCACTTCTCTTATCAAACACCCAAATGTAACACAACTCCTAGGTTACTGTTCAGAATCAAAGGGAGAGATGATCAAGCTACCGAACGGGAAATGTGTTATTGCTGATAAACAGACAAGAATTCTCTGCTTCGAGTATATGTGTAATGGAGGCCTTGATAAGCATCTTTCAGGTACGTTTCAGAAACACGGGATGAGGGACATACATTTATCATCTCCTATTTTTTTCTCATTTTCTCAAGTTTAAATTGTTAGAACACACCTTGTAGCCACAATCAGCAGAACACTGAAATATGTTACCAGCACCCAAAAAAGGTTGTTCTAGTTTGAGTCCAAATATCTTAGATTTAAACAAGTATAGTATACAATAAAGATCTTAAATAAATAAATAAATATATTGCCTCAATATTTATAGTACTAAATAAGATCCATCATGAAATATATCTTGATAGTATCTCTATTTGGTGTTATAAATGTTGATAGTCTTCTTTATAAATTTGGTCAAACTTAAATTGACTATCTAACTAGAATAACTTTGTTTTTGGACGAGCTAGAAACTAGATATTACTATTACTGCTACTCAACCACACAAAATGTGTTCCATTGCTCTTCTTGTTAAGCATGGATGACAAGATTAATTATGTCAAGAATAAGTATTTCTACAGATGAATCTTCCGGTCTTGAGTGGAACACGAGATACAAGATAATTAAGGGAATTTGCCACGGTTTGAATTTCCTTCATGGGTATAATATTATTCATCTGGATCTTAAACCTCAAAATATATTAATGGATGCTACTATGATGCCAAAAATTGCGGATTTTGATTTGTCAAGGTTGTTGGGTGAACAAAAATCCCAGACTGTCACTAAAACTGCAAATCCCCGAACCAGGTAAGCTACACCCCACAACAAATACCGTTTGCTTTCTTAGTAATATATTAATGGTCTCAATTATGCTTGCACCATCTCAAACTCTTGATGTCTACTGCAGGGGATACATGGCACTAGAATACATAGACAGGGGTGTAATCTCAAAGAAAGCAGATATATTCAGTTTGGGTGTCATAATTATAGAGATACTCAAAGGCTGCAAGGACGACTATCCAGACTATGGCCAAAGCACCGAAGTTTTCCAGCACTTCACAGAGAAAGTAATAAGATGAAGTAACGAATATTCTGCATGTGTACTATCGCTCTAGCTCACTTATTATATATGCAATTGTGTAGGTGCTCAGTAATTGGAGGAACAGATTCGAAAGATCATCGAAGTATACATCGCCAGAACTACATACCCAGCTAGTAAAACAATGCATCAACATAGCTTTGGAATGTGTGCACCCTGAGAAGGAGAAAAAGGCCAAATGTATCAAATATAATTGAAATTCTTAATGCAGCAGAAGGAAGTTGTGTTCAAAATGGTGAAGATTTACTGGTAGATCACCAGGTATGATACTCTCTCCATCTCCAAATAAATCAATTCCAAGAATCCGTTCAAGTTAAACTATCTTAAGTTTGACTAAACTTTATAGCAAAGAGTAACAACATCTATGAAATAAATGAGCATATTATAAAAATATATTCTATGGTATATCTAGTGATAATAATTTGAAAATATATTCTATGGTATATCTAGTGATAATAATTTGATGTGATAAATCTTGATAGTTTTTTTGTAGAAATTCGGTCAAAGTTTAAAATTTTTGACTTAAGACAACTCTAGGAATCTGTTTATTTAGGGACAGAGGGAGTATCTTATATCCCATTGAGTATGCGGCCCTTTCTCGCACTTTATTGCAATATTAGACGTGAAAAGTGTCCTACAATTTTGGAATATGCTATTTTGGTATAGTCATGACATGTGCCTTAGTTCTTTTTTTTCTTAATAAAAATCACTTGATATGCATGTAATGAATGAAATGTTTCTTTAGTGAAAACCGTGTGGGAAATATCCATAAATAACATTTCATTTTCATTATTTTTTAGTTATAGATGCAAATGTGGAAGCTCAACTATTTCTTGAGATACCAATCAACATGAAGGTTAACTTTTTAGAAAAAAAAATCACTTGATATGCTTGTAATGAATGATATGTTTCTTTAGTGAAACCCGACAGATAATGTGTGGGAAATATCCATAAATAACATTTCATTTTCATTGTTTTTTAGTTATAGATGCAAACCAGCAGTTCAACTATTTCTTAAGATACCAATCACATGAAGGTTAACTTTCTAAGAAAAAAATAAGAACCTTAATACCACCAGGCTCACTTTGTAAGATGAAGAGAAAACAATCCCATTTTATTCTTATCATCTTACACTATAGACTTCTAGGATGAACATTAAATCGTACAGCATAATAATGGCAAATTATTGTTCCCGCTGGTTACACTACTAGATTAATATAAGCCTCACCTTATTATTCTAGGCTTCCTTAGGGTAATCAAGTATATTGATGTTATCTAGGTGGTTTCATTGAGTATCATGTAACGTTAGAATATAGTATCCCTAGTTATGTGTAATAGCCCTCGGGTCTTTGAAAAGGATATATTGTGAGTATGGCATAGGCATGCACCGTATTAAGAAAAATTTACACAAATCTAGTAGAAAACCTAAATCAACCTCAAATTCTATAAGCACAACTCTAAAAGACTACAAGCGGTTGTTGCTCTCTTACTGCTCAACTTGACACACTTTAGGACACACTGATTCTTGCCCTTTATAAGAATCTAGTGCAATAAAATTGTCTAGCCTAATCCTCTTGAGTGTTCTTAATTGCTTCTTACAAGCATTGGATGGAACTCTTATGTTGGCTTGGTTGATACCTATGGCACCTTGTTTATATAGTCTCTTCCAAGGCTCTCAGACATGCAAGCAGGAGACACTCAAGTCATAATAGAATTACAACCCTAATAGCACACCTCTCTTGAGTCCCAGTCCAAGTAGAATTTGAATCATCATACAACACATAATATGAAGATGACTTAGTAGGCAAGCCATACAATGGGTTGTCTCTTAAGTTCAATTGTAAAACAACTGCATATTTCTCTCATGTTCATCTCTCATCCTTCATTTATTTAAAATTCTATCCTTCACAGCATTTAAAAAGCTATGTTGATGACGTGTATCAACGCAATTTCCTTTAAAAGTGAAACCACATCAAGTACCTCCTAGAAACAAGTGTATACCCCTCCATTCATAAATGTACATAATTTTAGCATTTAAAATTTGTCTAAAATTTAAGCAATCCTGCTATTATCCACCCATCCCTTCTCATCATTAATTAGCATATCTTTTAATTACTACTACGGTGTAATTTGGATATTTTAATTTTAATTTGTGTATGCAAATTATAACATCTCGATAGAAAATGTAGTGATAATTATGACTTAAATAATATTATGGTACTCTTACTTCCTTTATATGATAGGATTTGAAAATACCAATGGTTTGTTTTTTTGCCTATGGGTTTAATTTATTTTAGCAAAGTATTGATAGTGTCTATTACCACTTAAAAAACGCGACGAGGTTTTTGTCCATAGAGGTACATCGTGTATCGCTCGTCCCCAATAAAAAACGATATCTATTATACGGCAAAAAAAACGTTTCTAAAATAAAAATATATACTGAAAAACCATCCACTGTTCCTTTTTATGCTTTCTAATATACATTTATATGGCAAAAAAGACTCCAAAATAAAAGCATATGGCAAAAAACCACCGTAAAAAAACCATGTTCCCGCTTGGAAAAAAATATCCTATATAGCAAAAAAAGTTTTCCGAAAAAAGACATATATGGAAAAAAAGTTGTTTCAGAAACAAACTCTTCCACATCAAAAATCATATACGACCAAAAAATACATTTAGGAAAAAAAACTCTTCCACATCGAAAATCATATAAAGAACTGATTACAGGCCGATGAAACAAATCAGGCACATATTCAAACAGAGGAATTCAGCAAGGGCTTTGCTGATGACAACAAAAAGATCATGCACATATTCATACACAGGAAATCTTTGCTGTCACCGACGAAACAGATCATGCACATATTAATGCACAGACAAATTAGAGGAATAAACTCTCTCTGTGCGAAAATAAATTAATCTCCTAAAATCAAATAAAACTGTTTTAATAAGATAAAAGAAGTTTATCTAAAGTAGACATATGCAAATAACAATTCCTTCAAATTCACCTTAGATAGCTGTGGTGAACACGGTGTTGCACTATAAAATGGATTTAATCGATTTCAAGTGATCATGTCAAGATCACTATTCATACTTCACTTGACACGCGGTCGTGTTCTACCCGGTTCTGATACGAAGACCAAATCTATGTGTCCGTGTCTGATACGAAGTCTTCAAACCTCACGCGTTCTCGTCCGACCCGATTCTATTACAAAGACAAAATCTATGTATTCGCATCCAATACAAAGTCCTCATAGCTCACAATTCGTGCAACGCACGGGCATTATCTAGTATTGTAATAAAAAGAGTAAAGTCTGATTTCCCCGCTAAAATTGACATCGAATTTAAAAAACACCCTCAAACTAAATACCAGACAGCATCTCCCCTTAATTTTCAAAACCGGACAAATCATAACCCCTAAAATAGTTTAGAGTGGTTTCAATGTTGGTTTTAGTTCATGTGTCATATGTGACATGTGGGCCTCACATGTATTTAGTTTTTTAACCATGTCGTCTTTTATTAAACATTTGGACTCCTAAATGATCTCAAATGTTGAGCACTACAAATTAGGGATAGAGCATTTCTCCATCTGAGAACTAAAAAAAATGGGAAAAATAAAAAATGTTCATAATTAGAGAGCTAAAACACTAAAGAAACCACTTTGCAATGGTCAAGGGGTATTTTGTCCGGTTTTAAAAGTTAAGATATGTATTTATCTGACATTGAAGTTTAATTAAGGTGGTCTTTCAAATTCAGTACTAGTTTAGGGGTGAATCGAACTTTACTCTAAAAAAAGTGGCGGGACATAATATTACTTGACTTTCAAATCCCCATACACATATATAGTATGCCGCCTTTAGAAAAAGAAACACACAGAAGTATATTTCAGTGGCCTTTAATATCTGTGACAAGCTAAGGTGCAGTTAGTCTAACTGTTTCTTGCATAATTATTCATAGATTGGAGCCCAGGAAGGGGTACTGAAACGGATGTGCAGCGTGAGGACGGCTTGATGGATCACCGACCAGCGTGGATCACAAAAGGCATAATGAAATCAGCAAATTGCACCACTCCAACCACAACGCGAGCCAGTTTTGGAAAGTGTGGATGGTTCGCTTTGTTATCAAGGGTCACGAAATGCATCATTTTGGGTGGCGCACAAGGCGTTGGCTTCCTTGGAGGACAACGTGCTCAAGGACTGGGCAGCCACCATCAACCTTGGCCCAAGGCCACGGCCCTCCAGCTAGAGCTGCTATCTGTCAAGGCGATTCTTGAGTCCACCCTCGGCAGGTGATACACAACTCAGCGCTTGAGCACGGTCTAATGATGCTTCAAGACCTCGATATATGACACCGAGGATGTGGTGGACGAGATGGAATACTTTCACATCCAAGACATGCGGGCGCCACCCGGCATGCCGAAGGTTGCTTCAACCTGGACCTTAATGTGTCCCCTTGCTCACCTCACCATCTTTTCATGATGATGAAAACTATAACTATGATGTTGATGATGATGATAATGGTGAATATGATGATGATGATGATGATGATAATGATGGTGAATATGATGATGGTGATGATGATGATGATGATGATGATGATGATGATAACAACAACGAGAACTATAACTATGATGATGATGACAACAATTCACCGTAGTTGCCATCCGTTCATGATGAACCACCAAAGTTGAGATTTGATAGGGACAATGCCTCCCGAAGAATAGAACATATTGTAGAGCAAATGCAGCTCATTGAAAAGAAGTTCTCTAGTGCTATTAAACTATTAGGTTCTAACTGAGCACTACCCCAAACATTGCACAAAATCGCCCCATCACCATCTCTGAAAGTATAGAGCCAAAACTGTATGGGAGGGAGCTTTTGGTGAAGAGCATCATAGATGATATCACAAAGGGTAAACATACGGTGAGGTCCTCACAGTTATTCCAATTATTGGTCCAGGGGTATAGGAAAGACAACTCTTGCACAACATATATATAACAATGGAGAGGTGCAAAAACATTTTGATGTAAAAGTTTGGACATGTGTCTCACTCAACTTTAATGTGAATAAGCTGATAGAAGAGATTCAAAGATATATCCCTAAAGATGATCATGAAAGTTGTAATGGTACTGCTAGTGAGTTGATTGGGCAAAGATTGAAAAATAAGAGGTTTTTGCTTGTATTAGATGATATATGGGACTGCAGTGATGAGGATGAATGGAAACAGCTATTGGTGCCATTCAAAAATCACAAGTACAAGGTAATATAATTATAGTCACAACTCGATTTCCAAAGACAAGCACAAATAATGGTTCGGAAAATGATCATTCAATATATTTGCAAGGTCTAGATAGTGAACCATTTGAGGAATTACTCCTAAATATTATCTTTGGTGATGATGATCAATCTAGAAAGGACCATATATTCTTGCTTGAAATTGGGATTATGATAGCTGGTAGACTAAAGGGCTCCCCTCTTGCAGCAAAAACTGTTGGTAGATTGTTGAAAACCCAACTTGACTTGGTTCACTGGACTAGAGTCTTAGAAAGTAAGCAATGGGAGCATAGCAACGGTAAGAATGACATTATGCCTGCACTGAAGTTGAGCTTTGATTACTTACGTCCTCAGCTTCAGCAGTGTTTCTCCTACTGTGCTTTGTTTCCTCAAGATTACAGATTTGAAGGAGAAGAGCTAATTAACTTCTGGATAGGACAAGAAGCTTTGCATTATTCACCACATGGTGAAAGTAAAAGAGTTGAAGATATCGGGCTAAGTCATTTGACTGAGTTGGTTAATTATGGATTTTTGGAAGATGAAGGGGAAAAGGATGGAAGAACTTGTTACATCATTCATGATCTCTTACATGAATTAGCACGAAAAGTTTCATCACTTGAATGCCTTAGCATAGACACTCAATCTCAAGTGAGCTCCTTACAAATCCCGACATCAATCCGCCACTTGTCTATCAACATAGATGATACCAGTGTCAACAATAGATTGACACAAAAAAATTGTGTGGAGGATATCAATACATTGCACACAAGATTAAAAGTTGAAAAACTGCAAACTTTGATGATATTTGGGAAACACCACGGTTGCTTTGTGAAGGCTTTTGGTGATTTATTTAGGGAAGCAAAGGCCCTTCGTGTTATTTTTCTATCAGAAGCATCCTATGATCTGGAATATTTGTTCAGCAACTTTTATAGTCTACTCCATCTTCGCTACCTTCGGATTGAATGTTCTTCTCAATATAAAGCCAGATTTCCCAATAAAATTTCTAGATTTCATCACATGATGGTCCTAGATGCAAAACACTGTGACATCATAGATCTACCAAGAGATGTCAGCAACCTTGTAAAATTGCGCCATCTTCTTGTTCAAGATGATACAATACACTCTAGCATCACTGAGGTTGGGAAACTAAAATCATTACAAGAGTTGAGAAGATTTGTGGTCAAACAAGATCATCAAGGTTTTGAATTAAGGCAGATAGGACATTTGGAAGAGCTCCATGGATCACTGTGCATTGATAGTCTTGAAAAAGTTCATGTACCGGAAGAAGCAGATGAAGCAAAATTGATGTTGAAAAGCCACTTACATGAGTTGATACTACGTTGGAATATTAATTGGCATGCCGATGATTTTGCACTCCAAAAACATGTTCTTGAAAGGCTTAAGCCAAATCGCAATCTTCGAAAGTTATCCATTATAGGGCACAGAGGAGGCACTTGCCCTTCATGGCTGAGTATGAACCTCTCACTCAGTAGTCTGAAATCTCTCTGCCTACATGATGTAAACTGGAAAACATTTCCACCTATTGGAGATTTGTGGTTAGTAAATGTGCCCCGTGAGGAAATCTCAATCAATATCCCTGAGAAGAGGTTTGGAAATTTGAGAAGGCTGGAACTTATACACTTGTCAGGGTTGAAAACGTGGGCTGTACATGCCCCTTGTCAATTGTTTCCTTATTTGGAAGTGCTTATCATTAGGGATTGCTCTCAACTTGTGGAATTGTCGTTTTCGCATTCTGCTGGTTGTTGTCAACAAGGGAAAGATGCAAATGACAATTTATTTCCTAGACTGAAGGAGCTCAAGATTAAGAGATGTCCACAACTATTGTCATTTGCACCCATTCCTTGGACTGAAGCTCCGTGCTACATTAAAATAACAGGAATTTCATCTCTTGATAAATTGGTTTATGGAAAAGAATATAGTTATTTGACCATTGAGGGAAATAATAAGGATACAAATGATAGCACGGTTTGGGATGTGCTAGCTTTTCATAATCTAACTGGACTAGAGGACTTGTACCTGTACCGGTGCCAATCTCTGCCACTGCATTACTTACAAATACTATCATCCCTAAGGACCCTACATATGTCTTATCCGAGTAATGTCTTTCCACTTGTTGAAGCTGACAGCCATGTCAAATACCAGTTTCAGTTGAATCACTGGCCATCGAGGGCGAGGGAGTGCTAGTGGGAAAGAGTTGACACAGCTACTTGTCTACTTCCCAAACCTCTCAGATCTGAAGCTGTGGTTCTGTGCAAAGGTAACAGGGCTGGCTGTGAATGTGAGGGGACAGCACGCAACAGAGACGCCCGGAACAACAACTTCAGCTAACAAAGAGGATCAGCAGCAGGATGCAAGAGCAAATGTCGACGTAATAGTCGCATCAGAAGAAGCAGAACATGGCCTATTGATTTTGCCTCCCCAACTGCAGGACCTGGAGATCCATGGCAGCCCAAAGCTGCGACTCCTTGGCTCCAATCCACATGACGACAGCAACAAAGATGGACGAACTGGGCAAGGAGGAGGGCTCTGGGGTCTAAGCTCCCTCCGAAGGCTGGAAATCGAGGATTGCCCCGAGCTCCTGTCCTCATACTCGTCTTCATCCTTCTCTTCTTCTTTCCCCTTGCCCAACTCCCTGGAACACCTTAACATTTCAGGAGCGATCGGCACGGGGGCTGAACTGCCTCTATCAAACCTCACTGCTCTCACAAGTTTATCCATATACCGATGTGGGGATTTAAGAGGCGAGGGATTGTGGTCTCTCCTCGCCCAAGGCCATCTCAAAGAATTATTTGTTCGAGGAAACCCCAATTTTTTTGTTGATTCCGAACAGGAGATTCCATCCTGTTCCTCAAAACTGCAGAGGCTCGACATAGATGATGTGTCTGGATTCACTGCTGCGGCCATTCGTCATAGCCTGCTCTTTTCCTCGCTCACCGTATTGAGTATTTGTGGGGATTACAAGGTGAAGAGCTTCACAGAGGAGCAAGAGGCCCTTCTGTTTGTCGACTCCTCGGGGATATCACATTTATTTGCTGCCACAACCTGCAGTCCCTCCCTGAACGGCTACCTAGACATCCCAACCTCAAGAGGTTACACATCTGGGCGTGCGGAGCAATCCAGATGCTGCCCAAGGAGGGCCTCCCAAGTTCACTGCAAGAGTTGTATATCAGAGAATGTCCAAAAATCCAGTCACTGCCCAAGGTGGATGACCTTCCAAGCTCCCTGCGATATTTAAATGTCCGTGAAAGCGGAAGCGAGGAGCTAAGGAGACAGTGCCGCAAGTTGATAAATATCATTCCAATAGTCGAAGTCTGACAAACCCAAGGTAACAAAGAGGTGGAACTTCCCACCCATCAATTTCCCTTGCTTCTCCTAACCCCATAAACCTCCGTCATTCTTGTTTCGTTTATTTGGCCACAATTGATGTTTTCTTCTAGGTAATCCGCTTGTTTCCATCTGCTGTGCAGGGCATTTCTTCATATTGTGTATTATTGTCCTCTGGATTCTCTCTATCTATTCACAATTTTCAATTATAATAATCTCTGCACATGCCTTCCACCCTATACATCAAACTGGTAAGTGCCTGTGAAACCACCTCTGTAGTCTCATACTGTCATACAGCTATTTACATGTTCACAATGTTGCTTATTTGATGCTTGACCCAGTTATTTATGCACTTATTAATGCCTTTTGTTTTGTGTGTAACAATAACCTATATACGTTCTCGATCAGGTGAATATGTTTAATGTACTCCTGCCTTGCAGTTCTGAATCTCAGACGATTTATTGAAATACGGATGCTGCTGTATGTTTTTTTTTTCTAATCAATGGTCTGCACTCTTATGAAAGCCTGTTCAGCAATAAATGGTTTCAGCCTTCCCATGTCTCTTGGATCTGAGAAAATATGATTGCTCTACTTCTAGTCTTCTAGGCAAGGTAATAACCACATTTCATAAAGTATGCTCTGTTTACGTTGAACATAATTGTATATACTCATTCCCCTGCAATCCAATAATGCATAATAGTGCAACCCGCTTGTTTTCATCTACTATGCAGGGCACTTCTTCATATTGTCCATTATTCTATCCTTCGGATTCTCTCTTTATATATTTACAATTCTGAATTCTAAAGAATGAATACCTCTGCACGTGCCTCCCACCCTTTACATACTCAGAATGTTTGCTTACTTGCTGATTTGATGCTTGTTCGATTATTTATGCACTTTTCCCTTATTAATGCCTTCTATTTTTTGTGTAACAATAACAGTATATATGTTTTCGATCAAGTGAATATGTTTAATATACTCCAGCCTTGTTGTTTCAATCTCAGAAGATTTACTGAAATATGGATGCTGTGTATGATTTTTTCTAGTCAAACAGTTTGCACTCTTAGGAAAGCAAGTTCGGCAGTAAATGGTTTCAGTCCTCCCATGACAGCTGAAAATCATGCGACAATGCAAATTTTGTGCTCTTTGCTTTTCCCACATCTCAATGGCTATTGAAACCTCAGAGGTGGGCAGTGGAAAAATATCTTTTGATCACTGAATTTACAAATAGCGAACACAATCCAGAAACCATAATATTTTTCTCAAATGTCAAACAAAACTGGACACTTGTGAAACTTTGTCCATGAAAAACTGACATAATACTATTTTATTGTGACAATATATTCTTAAAAAAGATGGGTGAAACAGGTCGAAATGTTTTCCTGGATAGACGCTTCTGCTCTGCGCCTGGGTTGGTAGAGGATCCTCTGTTCTGGTGGAGCTGTGGTGGTCGGCAGAGGCAAAGATGGATGAGAAGCTTCCATGGTCTCCTGCGACATGTTAAGGTGTCGCTTTGGTGTCGAACAGGCGGAAGAAAATAGCATTGCTGCTGCCTACTGATGAGATCAAAATCAGTTTTGTATGCTGGCATGCTGCTTTTGGGTGTAATAAGGCCAAAAATCAGATAAATCTACAATCTAATTTCATTCATGCCAATTTGGTTTCTTCCACAGCTTTGGAGCCTTCTAGTGCCAGATGCATTCAACAACTTAACTGAAATGAGGCCACACCTGTGTCCAGATGCATCTGACTGATTCAACTAGAAGGATGTCGGTCGGATTTGTGGCAAGATGCATTTCGAAGTGCTGATTGCCATACAGGAGTGATGCTTGGAGCCAAACATTTGCCAACCAAATTACCTTGTAATCAGGGATCATCAACCATTGAATTGTCATCACACGGCTCTGAGCTGTCAGCTAGCGAATGACAGGAGCCTTGCCTCTGTCTCTGTCACATCCCAGGTAGCACGCAACCCTGGTATGCTACCACACAACTCTACAGAGTTGCTGAACTCGTAGTTTTCGACAACCTCTAAATAAAAGACAAACGCAAGCGGAAAAAAAACATGTAAATAAGAAGATACACGTGGTATAACAAGCAAACTATACAAGGGGAGGAGAGACGCAGGATTATTATGTTTAAAAATACAAAAGATAACATCTACTATCTTTATTATTTCATAATTCTACAATTATTATGTTATGATACAAGAGTGCAAGACGTGTTGCTAGTCCCATCCCCTTCATGCCAGCATTCATCATTAATCACCTGGAAGAGAACAAAGGGGGTGAGATAAACTCAACAAGCAGCGGCTATGAATATACACATATCTTACACGTGTTGAGTTATTAATTTTGAAAAGCCATATGAACGTCCATAATTATAAGGAAAGTAAACGGACAAATAAATTGTGCAGTTCATATTGTGGCGACTTTCAAACATTATCATAGGACTAGAGTACCACGTCATCATGGTATTGATATTCTCCAAAACATCAAGTATTTGATTAACAAGATTTAAACCGAAAAGGAACCATGTTAGGGGGCGATGAATAATTGAAGTACTCAACTTTCTTATGTCAACCATTAACCAACCACTCAGCGGATCAGTAATCTGCAATTCCATATTCTGCAAATGGCATAAAATGTATATATATGCCATGATGCAACTCCATTTGAGAGTTTAATGTTGGACAATGCCAACCTCTCATGCAACTCCATGTACCGGTGCTAGTCACTGCGCGATGGCGGTGACCGGCCATTAACTCCATATGAAATGCATATATATGCATATGAATGATCATGTATGCATAACTCCATAGTGCAACAATTATAATATAATAATCTGCAACCATCATCTCATAGCAACAAGCAGCATCGACATGATAAATAAATCCATAAACAATATATACATAAGCAAGAATAAAGGTAAACTATATTATTAGTCTTGTTGTATTTTATTTAAAAAAGAATGCAAGACATGAATATAAGCATAGCATTAGCCACACCCTCACGTTACTTGCCTTTTTTCACCGAAAAAACAACCTCGACAAGCACGCCTAAGAGCGGTTATTTTTCCATGCACTTCCTGATAAAAAATAAATATATGGATCTACTCAATAAATCATGCATAACATATTAAGAGTAAATACACGTCTCTATGCTTAGTCCATCACTCTCCACATTTTCTAATTGCAAAAGATACCCTTAAAAAGGAATTCACCTTGCAAGACAGTCAAATACAAAACTCAGAGCAGAACTTGCTATTTTCATAACTATTTCTATACAACAGCAAATGCAATGATCGAATGCAGTAAAAACATCTACTTAAAATTCCCTACAACTTTGTTATGCACCACAAAATCTAATTCGGCCTTCTTCTATTTGTAATCTGAGCCACAATGTTTTCACTCAGATCTGAAACAGTTTGCAACAGTAACTTCGAAAATCCACATGTTCTTAGATATTCAACTGCTACACTTCTGATATCGTAGATAAAGTAGTAGTCTACAGACCTCTGATTCAAACCTATGGTTCATCTAAAGAAGAAACAGAAAGAAGGAGATAAAAACGAAATTGATCTGATCTACTCAGTTAACCTAAACATGATCTCTGTTTATTCCTTTCTGGTGCCCAGACCCAAACCAGAGGCTACACGTGAGCAATAGAAGGGAAATCGACTTATCAATTACCTATAAAGCAAAATCGTCCTTCAAGCCACACTCATCCCTGGACTGCTACGTACCCTGCCCTTTGTCCTCCCTGCACACCACAACTCTGCAGATAACGAAGGAAGGACAGAGCCATGAGAAGCAGCAGCAGCCCCCTTTCTCTCTGGCGATTCGTAGAGGAAAAATCTCACGCACCTGCAGGATGGCGTGCCCTAGCGATGGGGAGGACGAGATGGAGAGCGCCGCCTCCGACCACTCGTGAAACCGGGAAGATTGGATCGACCTGTAGCAGGGAGACGGGAGAGGTTACGGTAGAATTTCTATTTTTGTTTCCTAACCCCTTAACCTTCCTAACTGGACTCTAATTGGGCCTTTGCTTTCTCCTTCTCCAAGCCCATTAGGCCCAAAGACAAATAAATTATTTTTTACTGGATGGATGTTACAGTGTCTCTCCCCCTCATGTAAGTCTTTATTTTCTCTCGTCTTGTGCCTATGCCTTATACCTTTTTCGTTCATGTGTGCCAAGTGAAACTGAATGAATGATACATGAACATGGCAGCATGTTTATCTCATCAGTTTCATTGGAAGCTACAAGCATCGTCGATCCTGTCCCTGGGGCTGCGGATGCGGTATCGGTGGCCGGCCGCTGGACCAAGCAGAGGCCCTCTGCTCCGTCCCCTGCATTCAGCGATCGACATCGAGCATCTCCAGTGCAGTCCGGGCACCGCCGGCTCCCGGAGTCTCAGGGCACCCAAACCTCTGCGTGGGAAATTACACAAGCTGCAGGAGCTCAAAGACGCCTACTACATAAGTGTCCTGGTTGGTTGACGCCCACGGAGCTTGACATCGACTGCACCGAGCAAGCTGCCGGGTCACGGTGGCAGCTTCTGATAAACAGCGTGCTGGTGCCTGCGAAGGTCGTTTTGGATCGTAGCCGTCTCCTGAGTCCTGACAGGTGGGTTAACAGTACACAGTAATGGAGTTGGAGGTTAGTTACGAAGAAAGAGGTCAGGTTAAGAAGTCGAATCTTTAGTCTTCAGGTCAATGTCAGATATATATAGACCCAAAATAATAGAAAAAAGAAAGGTTAGCTTCTGAGTAAGCGAGAGAGCTGAAACCAAAGGATCAAATCAAAGAAGGGTTTGCTATTTTCCCTTCATCATTCTACACCGTGCACCCGACATCCTTGCTCGCACTTTTGCAAAAGTAAATTTTGTTACTGACTCAGAAATTGTTCTATG